CATTGTCTCTCGTCACGTCGTGTTTGATGAGACACTTTGTTTACTTCTCGAGATGTCATCCACCCCTCGTGATCCTCACACACTTGACTTTCTCGGATGATGTTGTTGATTCCTCTTCGCCAACTTGGCCAAGAGCTGTGATGCAGTACTCGTCTTCTTCCCGCGGCATGGACGTTGCCCCGGGGCCCCTAGCCACCCCGGCCGCCACGGAGTGGCGCAGCCGCCCTGTCGGCCATGGTAGTGGCGCAGCCGGCCCAGCCACCACATCGCAGCAGCCACCCACGCAGCCCGACCACATCGGCGGTCAGTACAGCCACGCTGCCACGACGGCGGCTCATCATCCATCGGTCTCGACGGTCTTTGCTGCCCCTATGGACTTTCGGTGTCCCAGTTTGCTTTGCCAGGCCGGCGCGGACGTACCACCGCACTTTCCACCACGACGGCTCCAGAGGCAATCGTCCCGTCACCAATGCGCATAGCATGCGCACCGTGGCAAGGATGGTTTTGCCAACTGTGGATCGCCTCAACCTCCACCACGACGGTTACCGCTACCTCTCCAAAGTCCGTCGTCCGTCCGCTTTGCTCTCTCTCGAGACCGGCATGGCGCCTCGCTATGCGGTAGCGAGTCAAAGCTCTCCGAACAACGACACACGGGCGTTGGTGCCTCGCCCCCTAAGCGCCAACCTCGTCACCGGCAAGTGGGTTTTTCGTCATAAGTTCAAGTCTGATGGCTCTCTTGACCGCTATAAAGCACGGTGGGTGCTTCGCGGTTTCACTCAGCGACCGGGCATTGATTATGATGAGACTTTCAGTCCTGTTGTCAAACCAGCTACCATCAGGGTTGTCCTCACTCTGGCACTGTCTCGCTCCTGGCCGATTCACCAGCTCGATGTGAAGAATGCATTTCTCCATGGCACCACAGTGAGATCGTTTCTCGCATTCACCGGACCGGGTTCGTTGATTCCTCCAAGCCCAACCATGTCTGCCGCCTGAATAAGTCACTCTATGGATTGAAGCAAGCTCCTTGCGCCTGGCACAGTCGCTTCGCCTCCCACATCACCTCACTCGGGTTTGTTGAGGCCAAATCCGACACGTCGTTGTTCATCTACTGCAGAGGTGCTGATATGGCTTTTCTCTTACTGTATGTTGATGATATTGTGTTGACTGCATCTTCTCCGAGCCTCCTTCACCGGATCATCGCAGCACTTCGTCGGGCTTTCTCGATGACCGACATGGGGCCCTTCACCACTTTCTGGGTGTCGTCGTTATTGCCCGAGGTAATAGCTTATTTCTCTCTCGGCGGCAAGACATGCTGGATATTCGAGCGAGTGGTATGAGTCACCGCAAAGCCGAAAGCAACTCCTGTGGACACTCACTCCAAGCTTCCTGCTGATGGTGTCTCTGTCTCTCTCGATCCCGGGCGATTCATGGCATCTTCTTGGGCTCTTGATACCTCACCTTCACCAGGCCGGACATTGCATATGCTGTTCAACAGGTCTGCTTATATATGCATGATCCCCGGGAGCCCCACCTCAGTGCACTGAAGCGCATTCTCCGGTACCTTCAGGGTACCCTGGATCTTGGATTGCACTTACACCGGACCTCTCCAAATGATCTTCTTGCTCACACCGATGCAGATCAAGGTTGTCCCGACACACGCAAATCCACCTCGGGTTATGCGGTGTTTCTCGGCGACAATCTCATCTCTTGGTCATCTAAGCGTCGACCCTCTGATTATCACGCAGTCCGGTCAGGCAGAGGCGAAATATCGAGCTGTTGCGAACGGAGTCGCCGGCTTCGCTGGGTTGCGCCAGCTCCTCGACGAGCTTCGCTGCCCCTCTCCGTCGGCTTCAAAGGGTCTCACTGTGTGATAATGTCGGCGCCGTTTACCTCTCCACCAACCCGGTTCAAAGATCAATGAACCAAACATATTGAGATCGATTTGCACTTCGTCGAGAGCGAGTCGCCCTCGGTGAAGTCCGCGTCCCCTGCGTTCCCTACGTCCCGATCGCCGACATCTTCACCAAAGGTCTGCCGACGTCTGTCTTCACGGAGTTTAGGTCCAGTCTCAATGTTCGCGGTGCTCCCAGTTTAGACTGCGGGGGAGTGTTGGAATGCAATATGGCAAGTGGGCCTGTCCACAAGCCTATATATATGTATGACAATCAATCACAGTAATGTATTGAGAATTTCCCAATCACTTGCTATCAGTTCCAGGCAAATTTATGCATTCACCATAGCACTGGTAGACTTCTGGGTGCGCATATTCATTGACGTCTAAGAAAATCACAGAAAATTCTCAATTATGTTATGTAGAAGTTATGTAAGTTTTAACCAATCATATGCTGGCGTATATACCTTTGTACCCATTTAGGATTGAAGCATTGCCTGTATAGCCAGTAGGGCAATAGCACTGGTACCCACCCTGTGTGTTCTTACATTCACCAAAGCATTTGTAGATTTCCGGAGATAAACACTCATCGATATCTACACAAATCAGAGAGCAAGACACTGCAAACTTAGTGCATACTCCCTCAATTCCAAAATAACTGACTTTATAGGAAAATGTATCAATATTTATATCTCTAAACAATTTAATTATAAAGATATATGTCACGATTAATCTAGTGATATCATAAATATTAGTACTTCTTATTATATATTTAATCAATTTAAAAAAAAAATTGTTTTCTCGAAAATGAAGATGTGCAGTTATTTTTGAACGGAGAGAATATTTTTGGAACAGTATCCAATGATGATCAGGCATCAAATTTTGGGAGCAAACTGATCATATGGAAGTTGAAGGTTTAATATGATGTATATAGATGGTTTCAGCTATGGTTTGGGCCAAGCGATGGTCTGATGGTGTTTTGCTCTATTCGCTTTCTTTCTGTTGGGGATGATGGAAGATAACTGGGATGGACTTTTTGGGGGGTTTCCTGTTTTGCTACTTTCAGGATAGCCTGGCTTAACTTTCTGAAGATTCCTGGAAGGAGCCGATGACGTCAGATTTTCCTTTTCAGTTTCTTGTTAGTTGGTTAAGGTGTGCTGTTTCGTTAAAGAACGCAGGTTGTTGCGACTTCATTGTAAAATAAATAAATGATGAGGCATCAAGCCTTACCTTGGCATCCATCTGTGATGTATGGATTGCCCTCATACCCGGCCGAGCATCGGCAGATGTAGCCTCTGTGTGCCTCGGCGGTGGAGTTCTGGCAGGAGCTTTGGCTGCTGCGGCACTCCGGCGCCGGCGCGTCCACCGGGCACGTCGAGTTAGCGTCGCCGATGACCCAGTCCAGCACGGCCGGGAGCGCTGGCGGCGGCGCGTGCTCGGCCGTGGTCCTGTTGATCGTGTAGTTCACGCCGCGCTCCGCGATGTAGAAGATGTTGGTGCGGCGGGTCGCCGTGCCGTTGAGCTTTTGCACCCGGACGGCGTACCTGGCGTAGCCGACGGGGACGGTCGCCTGGCAGCAGCCGACGCCGGAGCACCCGCCGTTGAAGTAGACGTATCGTTGCGCCGGCGCACCCGCACCCTCATCGTCGACCGACGGGCAGAGCGCGCCGCCGGCGTCTGCCGTGTCCAGGAGGTGCACCTGCATGTTGCAGGCCACCACCACGAGCTTGTTCCGCTCCTCCGAGAGGAAGTACGGGCCGCCGGGACGGAGCTCGGCGCCCCACGACGTGCCGGCGGACCGGAGCACCAGGTCGCTGATGTTCACGTGGCCGCTGCTGATCCGCAGCGTGCCGTTGGAGATGAATATGTCCGTGACCTCGGTGGCGCCGTCGCCGAGGAACAGCTTGGGTGGCTGGAAGGAGCGGTCGCAGATGACGTCGAAGCCGCCACGGTAGCAGCCCGGCTCGACGCCGAACGGGTAGGCGATGCTGATGTTGCCGCAGCTGGTAGTGCAGCTGTGCCATGGACCATCTGCCGCTGCCGGCGATGCCGTGGCACCGGGAGGCCGTGGCAACGTGTTGGTGCGTGTCTGCGAAGACACGCGAGGCGGACTCCACCAGGCTCAGTGCGTGCTCTCGCAGAAGCCAGGAGTTGTAGCAAGCTCGCTCAATGTCGACTCTGAAATCGTGCGACCTTCCAGACGCTGTTATCGGCCTCAAGCAGGAGGCGTTGCAGCTTCTTTTCGTTGAGGAATTTGACCCATTGGCCATGAACTTAGATATGATCGGGATACACAAGGTTTGAAGTGTATCATTGTCTTAGTCGTAAAATAGTATTTTGTGTAATCACAATCTTGTGTGAGAAGTGTGAGAGGTGTGGGCTGTGGGTTTCGGTAATCTTTAGATTACTGTAACTCGACAGTTTTGTAACAAAACTTTCTATTCAAAAAACGTGTTAGTGTGTGTTGTAAATATAGAAAATAGCTAAGGGTTAAAATGTAAAAACAACTAAGAGTTAAGGAGGAGTATCTGAGAAGGATAGAGAGTATCGATCCAGACTTCCCCATCCCTCTGTCTCATGGCTGTTCTTCCCTTTGTTCCAAAATCTCCAAAATACTCTTTGATCCACTCATTTATTCCTCAACATGGTACCGGAGCAGGTTAATCTGGTGTGATTCCATTCCCTTTTTGGGGGGCATTTGCTGTTGTTGCTGTGATTTGGAAGCCGCAGTGTAAGAGGGAGCCGTAGTTCTCCCATCGTTCTTCTGTTGCTGCGGCGGTGCTTGGTGTTTGGATTCTGGACTAGTGCTGTCTGCTGCATACGTGAAAGCCAAGAGCTGTTGCTGGTACTTGGTCACTTTCGATTCATCTTTATTAGCTTGCTTATTCCTGAGTCATTGTTGGTCAGAGCTACAGTTCCTTTGAGTTATCAGGTGCTTGTGGTGCTAGGTGCCGAGGCCTTAAATAATTATTATTCAAATCAAGATTGTGTTGGAAAGTAACGTGCTTCTCCAAATTATATTGTTGTTTATTTGCCGCTGGCCGCATTTGTCAATTTGTTAGTAAATTCTTGTTTGGCTGCTGAAGTCAGTTCGTTCTGATAAAGAGCCATGGGAGATACAAGTCAACAGCAACCGATGGATGCTAGTGTTGAAAAATTGTGTGAAATATTCAGTAAAGTGCTAGAACAGCAACAACTGAAGGGAGTCCCAAAAATCATAAAACAAGTACTTGAGCCTAATCCGGTGAAGCTGTCAGGTCCGGAGAATTATGTTAGTTGAGCGCGCCATGCCAAACTAATTTTGGGCTCTCATGGATATGAGAGACTGCTTCTTGCTGTGAATGAAGAAGGTGAAAAAGGAGGTGAAAAAGGGAATAAGCAGATCAATGACAGAGTGCTAGTATGGCTGCTGAGTAGTATGGAACCAACAATCCGAGAACAAGTCGAGACCTTTGCCACAGTTGCAGAAGTGTGGTCAGCTTTGGAGAATCAATTTGCTGGGAAATCAAACAAGATGCAAGCTACTCGAATTATGCATGAGTTGACTCATTTAAAACAAGGGTCAAGGTCTGTGACCGAATATGCTGGTGAAGTGAAGAAGTTGTACAGAGACTTGCATTATTACCACCCATTTGAACCAGTTGATAAGAAAGACATGGCTATTCATCATACTTGGTTCCAGTCATTTGTGAGTAAACTCTTTCTTGATGGTTTGAATCAAGAATTTGATCTTCCTCGTCAACTTATATTCTCTAAGTCTGATTGGCCTAGTTTGGATGCTACAATCTCTAGCATCATAGAAGAAGAAACTAGGCTGTCTCATTCCAAGGTAGATGGTTATAAAGGAATTGATGTTCGTGCTGCTTTATCTATTAAGAATAACCGCACACTCAATTCCCAAGGAGTCAAGAACAAGACAGACACATTGTGTGATCATTGTGGCCGTGAAGGGCATACAATAGAGAAGTGCTTTAAGTTACATGGTTTTCCATCTGGGTGGAAAAAGGGGAGAACTCCCGAGGTGGTAAATGGAATCAAGCAAATCACACTCAACCTGATGGGGAGCTTCCAGTGGTAGATGTGCAAGCTCTTAAGGAGTACAAGTCCAAGCTCAAAGTCTCAGAAGGCTCAACTTCCTCCCAAGGGTCTTCTACCACTGCTTCTAGTTTCCATGCTACATCCCAAGGTATAAAACCATATCACGCGCACTTATCCAAAGTTCAGCCTAAACCTTGGATTATTGATTCAGGAGCCACTAACCACATGACAGGAGCATCAAATCTTTTTACTCCGTACACCCCTTGTTCAGGTAAGGATAAGGTGCGTGTAGCTGATGGATCCATGGCTCCTATAACAGAACGTGGATCAGTTCAGTGCACCAAAACCTTATCCCTATCACCAGTTTTGCATGTTCCTAATTTCCCTGTTAACCTATTGTCTGTTAGCTCTATCACAAAATCACTCAATTGTAGAGGTTGGTTTGATCCTTCTCATTATGCTTTTTGGGAGCTTGGGACAGGGAGAATTCTTGGGACTGGGACCATGCATAATGGACTCTATTATCTTGATGAAGGAAGTGATGAAGTGGCTTTTGCATCCAAGATGTCTCCTTGTCAAGAATTATTATTACTCCATCGCAGGCTTGGACACCCCTCTTTTGTTTCTTTGTCTCAAAGTTATCCATCTCTTTTTAATGCATGCCCTAGGGAATCTCTTATATGTGATGCTTGTGAGTTTGCCAAACATACAAGGGTTCCCTATCCAAGTTTAGGTTTAAGAAGCAACAAACCATTTGATATTATTCACTCTGATGTTTGGGGACCATGTGAGGTGAACTCTATACTAGGGCACAGGTGGTTTGTGACTTTTATTGATGGTTTTAGTCGATATACTTGTCTTTACTTGTTGAAACATAAAAGTGAAGTCTTTGCAGTTTTCAAAGACTTCTATGCTTTTATAAAAAATAAGTTTGGCAACACTGTTAAAGTCTTACGTTCTAACAATGGTACGGAGTATGTTAATCAGGAGTTTGAACAGTTCTTGCCTCGAATGGTATTGAGCATCAAACAACCTGCGTTAACACTCCACAGCAAAATGGTGTTGCCGAACGGAAAAATAGGCATTTACTTGAGGTTGCTCGTTCGTATGTTTACAATGAATGTTCCTAAGTTTCTTTGGGGGGAAGCTATAAAGACTGGCAAATTTAATTAATCGAATGCCTCTACGAGTTCTTGATTATAAATCTCCAGCTGAGTTACTTTTGAAATCAAATGATTTTGTTGTTTCTCCTAAGGTTTTTGGATGTGTATGCTTTGTTCATGATTATAGAAATAATGTTGGGAAACTTGATCCTCATGCTGTTAAATGTGTGTTTGTTGGTTATTCTCCTACTCAAAAGGGTTATAGGTGTTGGTGTCCTTCTGAGCGTCGCTTCTTTGTTAGTATGGATGTGACTTTTCATGAAAATGAACCTTATTATGGCCCAACCAATGATACTGAAATAGTGAAATTACTCTATCCCCATTTGAAGTGCAACAAGAGGGGGAGAGTAATGGTGGAGGCATTGAGTAATGGTGGAGGCATTCTTGTGGGCTCTATTTGTATCCCTAATTCAAATGTGTTACCTTTGAGTGATAGGCAAAGTTTAAGTCAGGGGGAGATAACATATAACCATAATGATAATCCTTGTCATGGAGACATGCAGCATAATCTGCCTTCTTAGAATATAGAGTCTATTATGCATGAGGACCCACATAATGGCATTCAATCTCTCGATCCTATTGCTCCATCAAGCACTTTAGAGCAAGGTGAGAATCAACCATCTACTCAACCTTCTTCTCACAATGACTTACCCATTGCCTTGAGAAAACCACATAGATCCTCAAATACTCATTGCCTTGAGAAAACCACATAGATCCTCAAACATTCTTGCTCGCCTCAAAGATTATGTTGGGTACAAACATGATATTGCCAACTTCATGTCCTATAAAAATTGTAGTTCGTCCTTCCAAAGTTTTATTGCCTCACTAGATTCTGTATCCATTCCTACCAATTGGAAATTGGCCAAAGAGGACCCTAAGTGGAAGGAAGCAATGCTAGAAGAGATGAGAGGTTTGGAGAAGAACAAAACTTGGGAGCTTGTGGATCTACCTCAAGGTAAGCAACCCGTAGGATGTAAGTGAGTTTTTATTATTAAACATACTCCAGAAGGAAAGGTGGATAGGTACAAAGCCTGTTTAGTTGCAAAGGGGTACACTCAGACTTATGGGATTGATTATGATGAGACCTTTGCACCTGTGGCTAAGATGAATTTGGTAAGAACACTTATATCTTGTGCTGTTAATTTGGATTGGGAGATATACCAGATGGATGTGAAAAATGCATTCCTTCATGGTGATCTTCATGAAGAAGTATATATGCACATTCCACCTGGATTTGAAACAGATCAAACTAATGGGAAGGTGCTTTGTTTGCATCGATCTTTATATGGGCTGAAACAATCACCAAGGGCTTGGTTTGATCGCTTTAGGCAATCCATGCTAAAGAGATGTTATCTCCAAAGTAATGCTGATCATACACTATTCTATAAGCATGTTGTTGGCAAGGTAACAATTCTTATAGTGTATGTGGATGATATTGTGATTACTGGGGATGACTCTACTGAAATTTCTAATCTAAAGAAATACCTTGCACAAGAATTTGAAGTAAAAGATTTGGGGCACTTAAGATATTTTCTCGGAATTGAAATCTTTCGAGGTCCAAAAGGGATATTTCTTTCTCAAAGAAAATATGTTCTAGATCTACTAAAGGAAACTGGAATGCTTGGATGTCGTCCTACAACCACTCCAATTGAACAAAATCATCGCTTAAGTAAAGATGCAGGGACTCCGGTGAACCGTGAGTGTTACCAAAGGCTTGTTGGAAGACTTATATATCTCTCTCACACTCGACCAGATACTGCCTTTGCTGTAAGTGTGGTGAGTCAATTTATGCATGATCCTAGATCTTTCCATATGGATGCTGTTTATCGGATCTTGCGGTATCTTAAGAGTTGCCCAGGGAAGGGTCTTTTATACACTCAGGCAAGGAAATTTACAAATTGAGTGCTACACTGATGCTGACTGGGCAGGCTCTTTGGATGATAGGCGATCAACTTCTGGATATTGTACATTTGTGGGAGGTAACCTGGTTGCATGGAGAAGTAAGAAGCAAAGTGTTGTAGCACGGTCTACCGCTGAGGCTGAGTTTCGTGCTATGGCTCATGGTGTGTGTGAACTGTTATGGCTGCAAATTCTTCTAATGGAATTGAAATTGTTTAAGGGCAAGCCTTTGATGTTATATTGTGACAACAAAGCAGCCATTGATATAGCCAACAATCTTGTTCATCATGATAGAACCAAGCACATTGAAATCGATCGTCACTTTATCAAGAAGTTGGATAGAGGGATAATTTGTCTACCTTATGTAAAATCAGCTAGTCAAGTTGCTGATGTCCTAACCAAAGGATTACCCGAAAAAAATTTCTGCCTTTTGTAGCATGATGGGTCTGTATAATATTTTTGCCCCATCTTGAGGGGGAATGTTGTAAATATAGAAAATAGCTAAGGGTTATAATGTAAAAACAACTAAGAGATAAGGAGGAGTATCTGAGAAGGATCGAGAGTATCGATCCAAACTTGCCCAGTCCTCTGTCTCATGGCTGTTCTTCCCTTTCTTCCAAAATCTCCAAAATACTCTTTGATCCACTCATTATTCCTCAACACAACGCAACAGCTGCTGCTGCCGCCACCGCAAGGGAAATTAGCAGAGAAGCCATTGATGGATCGATGTAGCTTGGTCGTATGCATGTGTACATTGTGTACAGCTATTTATGCTTCCCTGCTTCAGTATCTTACACGTACGATGTATGCAGCCAAGCTGTAATTTTTTTTACTGTCTTTCGTGAGCCAGTTCGTCATTGTAGGCAGGCGATATATGTTATGGTCGTAGAGTAACACTATTCGTGTTGGGCAGGCAGTAGTTTAGTGCTCCATGTCACAGTAACAAGTGGTTTGAAACCTCTTGTCTCTGTGACTGCGTCGTGTGGTTGTCTGAAGTGTGAACAATTGTTGGATGACAATTGCAAGCGTCATGGAATAGAGCAGCACTGACGATTGAGTGATGTTAATACTGGAGGCAATGCAATGCAAGTAGCCTAAAGCCACATCATCAATCTTCTCTTAGTCTTAGCAAGTTTTTTTTTTAAGAATCTCTTAACAAGTTGCACTGCAGGCCTCAAGAATCATGAAATTCTGAAGTTATATATACTGATAGTTTTTTCCCTTATAATTGGATTGAAGATTCCTACCATCTGTCTGATAGTTTGCATAGGCAATTTTCTGAGTGCTAGTGTCAAATGCCTTGATAAATGAATGGATCCTTCTACAAACTGCAACTTTTTCACTTATTATTAGGAAAATTCCAGTGTTTGATAATTTGCACATGACAATGCTACTTTGGAGAATGGCTTTAATGAACTGAAACCAACAGTGTGATTATTGACTATCCAATCTAAGGTAAAGTACTGGATAACCGTTTGTCACTGAATGTGAATATTTGATCATCGTTACAAGCTCGCTGATAACAAGATCTCTTCCTCCATACTGTACTGCCTACTGCTATAGTTGTTGCCAACGCCGGCGTTGCCTCCTTGAAATGTTGACTCATTCAGATCACCCAGCTGCTCTTCCATCCCAGAGCTGTAACTGTAAACGTCTAAACCCTGCAGTCCTTGAAGCCTCATCTCCATGTACCGCATCTTTGGCCTATCCTCACCCTTCAACCTCAAGCACATTGCTGCTATGGCTGCCACTTGTTTAGCCTCATCTTTGTCTTCTTCTTTCATGACCTGCTCATTGAGCATCTCATCGAGCTTATCTTGATTCAACAGCATAGAGAAGTGTGCACCTAAACTGACTCCTTCAGGCAACATGCCGACATGTACATGCTTGGCTTCTTGCTCGTTAGCAGCTCATTAGCTCAACAAGCATGACACATTGACACTTATCATCTGCATATTGCTTTCGTCAATACCGATATTAGTTTCAATAACCAAACTATACTAAATAGCTGAAGGAAATATCAGTTGCATTAGCTCAAGATTCTAGATCCAAGTCCAATCCTCTGCTTTTAACTCCTTTGTCTTTACATGCTTACAACAAACTAGAAAGCAAACTAATAACTTCAGATGACCAATGAATAAATACAAGGCACATAACTATACTGTTTATAATATTCATGCAAAGTAACAAAAGATATACAAAATCGGTAATATGACAGCAAATGAAGTTCATCGTTGCTCATGATTGCACAAGTTCATCGGGGGTAGTTTGCCAACAATAGTATTTCCTCTTCCATACTGTATTGTCTGCTTGCTTCATTGGATATCCGTTGAGTTGGCATGTATCGGACTAGGTTTTCATCATCATTGGCCCTTTCTGGCATAATGTATGGAACATGCTTCTTCTTAGTTAGCAAGTTTTCAAGTGTCATCTCCACTTCTCTCATTGTAGGCCGCTCTTCTCCCCTTAGTTTAGTACACGCTGATGCTAGTATAGCAACTTCTTGGACTTCTCCATCTTCCTCTTCCGTGGCTTGAGGATCTATTATGTCACATAGGTTGCCTTGTGCTAGCAATTTTATAAAATGTGAAATAAGACTATCATCATCATTGGACCTGTAAAGGAACGGTTCTTCCTCGTAAGCAATTCTATAAGGAGAACACCAAAACTAAAGACATCACTCTTGTCTGTTAATCGGGCTGTATAATAGTACACTGGATCTAAGTAACCAAATGTTCCTTGAACATCTGTAGTTATTCCTGTTTGATCAGTTGTGATGTACCTTGAAGCTCCAAAGTCTGATACCTTTGCTGTTAACCTATCATCAAGAAGTACGTTGGAGGACTTAATATCTCTATGTAATATTGGCATTGAAGTTGCTGAATGTAGATAGGATAGAGCTTAGCAACTTCAAGCGCATTCCTTATCCGATCAACCCATGGTAGTGATATTGATCTTTCAACATGTAGATGTTGATAAAGGGTTCCATTCAATGTTTTCCTAAACGGTAAACGGTCTTTACACGGTCGCCCTTCGTTTAGCGTTTAGGCTATTTACACGGTGTTTAAACGAAGTTAAACGGTCTAAACGGTTTTGTACTTTTAAAAAAATACATATAATTATATATGTGCATGTAAAAAATCAAGTATTCTAGCATTTATACATATTTATCCGAGTAAAAATCAATTATTTTGGTATGTATATATATTTATGCATGTGAAAAGAACCAAATATAGATATTTATGCATGTAACATATCAAGTATACACATTTATAAATATAATAAACTTAAGTATACAAATTTATCCATATAAAACTGAACTAGATTTACCTCGTGTTCACCGAAACGGCCGTTTAAACAACTGTTTAGCCCGTTTAATATTGTTTATCTCCGTTCCGTTTAGGCCGTTTTTTTCGTTTTTTGACCGTTTAAACGGTCAACCGTTTAATTTCCATTTACCCCATAAACAAAACAGTTTACCACTATTTACCGTTTACTGGCCGTTTAAACGGCCGTTTAATCCGTTTAGGTGAACATTGGTTCCATTTGAGATGAACTCATAAATTAGAAGCGTGACTTCTTCCTCAAGGCAACATCCTAATAGTTTCACCACATTTCTATGGTTGACTTGAGAAAGAATAGCAACTTCATTGATGAATTCTCCTATTTCTCTCTGGACCACTATCCTTGATTTCTTGATTGCCACGACTTGTAGGTCTATAATTCTTTTGAATACAGTACCATGCCCTCCTCCACCAGCGGCGGATCCAGGAAAAATTTTAGGGGGGGCTGAACAACACATACCTCCGACTGCTGCTCGATCTTAAGTCTCAGCCCCACTTACACTATAAAACTTTGCCTAAAAAATCGTGGGGGTTCCAGGGGGTTCCACTGCTCCGGTATGGGTAAGGGGGGCTCGAGCCCCCCCCCCTCCCCCCGCCCCACCGTTGGATCCGCTCCTATCCTCCACCGATCACACGTGCTCTGTCAAAATTGTTGGTAGCCTTCTCTAGCTCCTTCAATGTAATGATCATCCTTTTCTCCAATGTCGGTATTATGTGATATTAGTTGTTGCAATAGTAACCCATGGTTTTGATTGAAAAAATTCTCTCTCATCTTTTTCACCTTTTGCAACTTAATTTTACGTGTTATGAAGGGAGCAACAAGTGCTAGGAAAAGACTTGTTCCACCACCTACTCCCAACCCGATGCTTAATCCTGAAAAGAGAAAATGGATGAGTTAAATTCATGAGTTGGAATCATCACATGCACACATTGTACTGTAGGAGGCTAGGAGCACATGTATTATTGTGATGGCAATAAATTAGGTAATAGGTGGGCATAGTGGATTTCTCACCCGTCAATGAATTCTTCCTTTTCACTATAATGCAGCCATCTTTTATTCGCGGATTTCCATAAGTTCCATCAGGACATTGGCATTGAAACCCTCCAGGGAAATTTTGGCAGGTTCCATAGCATGAATGTGCTTCTGGGTTTTCACATTCCTTTATATCTAGAAAATGCATGCACACAAAGAAGACATGCGTGCCAACACATTATATATTGGAAAGAAAACATACCATTAGTTGTAGAGTTATATTAGTTATTACTAGCTAGCACTAAATAAGGTTGCAATAATCATCACTCTGAGTCAGTATTGTGATACCTTGGCATCCATTTGGGAAAGAAGCATTGCCAACATAGCCATCAGGGCACATGCAAATAAAACTCCCCGGCGTATTCTTGCAGTCACCGTAGCAATTGTACCTCTCTGGAGAAGTGCACTCATCTATATCTAAACAAGCACATGCATGAACATTGTTAGTTAAGAATTGGATCGATGAATGAATTTAGTTTACAGATTCAACTTAGGTCAACAAAGGTGTCTGTGTGTGTGTATATGATCCAGCAGTTTGCTCTTAGTCTATTGCTAGCTATACCTTGGCATGCATCGAGTCCATCATCGCCGACGTAAGGATTGCCTTGGTAGCCATCTGAGCACTCGCATGTGTACCCACTAGTAAGATGATCAGTAGCTTTAGCATCCACACAGCCATAAAGCAACAACGAAGTGTCTTCTAGGCAAGAGCTGTGGGTACTGCGGCATTCAGGAGCCGACACATTTGCAGTTGTAGGACAGGAATGATTAGCTATCAACCAGCTTAGGGTGCCCCGCACCGTTTCGTTATTAAGACTCGTAGCATGCATGGTATGAGAATAATCACTGTTATCCTGATCAACTATGTGGACCGAACCACCATTATTGTTGAGTATTGGAAAAAGCCTGTGGATTTGGATGTTGTAGAAAGAGTAGCCCGATTTTGTACAAAGAGTAGCAGTTCACCGTGCCTGAATGAAGTAAATGACCACCACCACCACCTTCATTATTTGTCGGACTGATAGCAGAGCACCATGTGATCAATTGATTATCGTCTCCGGCCTGCGGGAATAACAGAGAGCAGAACATCCCTCGTGGCAACGCATTGTACTTCTGCGACAGGTGGTACGGGTACGTTCCGTGCTGTGTGAGGTCAATTCCCCATGTTCTATTCTCCGTACGACGAGCTCTATCATAGATGAACTTCACACGGATGCTGATACTCACCGTAGCGTTGGGAATGGAGATCTCGAACACTTGCACCGTGCCGTCACCGAGGAACAGCTCCGGTGACGGTGAGCCCTCCCCGCCGTACCTGCAGGTGAGGTTGAAGCCGGCAGCGTGGTAGCAGCCGGGCTCCACGCCGAACGGATATGGGATGCTGATGTTGCCGCAGCTCCTGGTGCAGCCGCCCGCGGTGTCGTCGTCGTCGCGGCAGCAGACACAGTTGTCGCCGCCGCACCCAATACTGGCGGTGGCAGCAGTAGCGTGCGGCAACTGCCACCGCCACCACCGTGATCAGCGGCGCCATTCTCCTTCGTATCGCCACCTTCACCTCCGTGCTTGCAACCGCGGGCCCCTATGTTTGTAGAGCTAAATTTGTACAGTACGTAGATAGTACTTATTATGATTCATGAGGGCTTGTTTAGTTTATCCCCTTAAAGTTTACTCCCTATCGTATCGTATGTTTGGACATATACATGAAGTATTAAATATAGATTAAAAAATAACTAATTGCATAGATTGCGACTACTTTGCAAGACGAATTTTTTAAATCTAATTAGTTTATGATTTGACAATGTGGTGCTACAATAAACATGTGCTAATGATGGATTAATTAGGCTTAATAAATTCGTCTCGCAGATTACCGAGGACTTCTGTAATTTATTTTATTATTATTATCCAAACACTCCCATGTGACACCCCTATGTAACATCCGATATGACACCCCTAAATTTTACTCCTTGAATTTAAATACCTCCTCAGTTATATACAGTACTTGGGCATATATATATATATATATATATATATATATATATATATATATATATACATACACACACACGGGACGGCACGGTGCGGTGACTTGTCTTGGACTTACGTCTGCTATGATACTTTAGCCACCGAACGCCATTTGGAAAATCCACACTCAACTCCATTAATTTGTCTATCTCAGATTATCAGAATATATCATGATTAGGTTAGCACCCTGTTCACTTGATTGTTTGTGTGACTTATAAGCCGGCTGATGTTGTTTTGTTGTGAGAGAAAAACACTATATCATGGCTGATACAATCAAGCGAACATGGTGTAGACTAAGACTACTCACACTACTCAGCTGATTCTAGTATAGATAGATATAGCAAACCTTATGTTTTGCGCCTGTTTAGAGCTAGCCATATTCATGCATTAATCTAATCCCCAACTGAGTTACTATACCTTTTTTTTAATCAAGTTACTATATATCAGTTTATCCTGCACCACCAGCCGCTAGCTCCAACAATGGAGCAGTTGCCGTACACACGGAAGCTAGCTAGCAAAACTTTGGAGGTGTAGCCGGCCGGCCCGCCGGTCGGGCAGGTGCCCCGAGCCTGCATCATGCGTGTGCTGTTGACAAACCGTTGAGTCACTCACAGAAAAGGATGGCAAGCAGACGGGTTCACTACCACAGCAAGTAGAGGCCGGCGTCTGGGTCAACCGTCTCTACCTATAATTAAGTTCAACGATTTTTAGAGACGGCTGTCCAAAGCTGTTCTTACAAATCGATTTCTAAAGAAGGCTACAAATCCAATCATCTCTAAAGATTGTTTCCAGAATTTGTAAGCCGGCTCTAAAAGTAGAAAAAAAAATCACTCCCGGTGAAGCACTGGGCGCGCACTGCAAGTCACAAGTCAGGTGTTTTGCGCACATCTCGCGCGCGTGCGGCCGCGGGAGATCGAACACGCGACGACCTGTGGCCTCACGCGAGCCTCATCTAACTACACCCTAAAGTCAATGATGACTAAGTAGATGATATTTCCTTTTGTATTATATTGAATAGATATTATAATGAATATTTTGAGGCCCTAAAAAAATTAAATGAAAACAGTTTCAACTATAAAATGGTATATCGTTTAGAGATCTACAACTTCACTTTTGGTCGTTTCTCTACCCGAGATCATTTGAAATTTCGAAAAATTGAATTTCGAAATGCAAGAACTTTAAACAGAATTTGCAGACCCTAAATGATTTCAAATCAAAAAGTTGTCAACTATAATGTTATAAATCTCTTCGAGAGCTACAATTTGTTATAAAATTTGTCTTTATCTGACTTTATTTGAAAAAAGTTATGAATTTTATTGTATTGCACATATTTTTGGAGACGGGTCAAATTGTCAACCGCCTCTAAAAATATAATTGATTTTTAGAGACGGCTGGGATTTCCGGACACCTCTAAAAATATTTCTATTATTTAGAGGCAGCTATAAATACCAATAGCCTCTAGAAATATGATTTTTAGAGGTGCGTGGGCTTTCCTGCTTTCTCTAACAATAGAGGACATTTCTAGAGGCGGTTGTAAAGCCCAACCACCTCTAAAATTTGATTTTTAGAGACAGGTCTGTTCGGAAACCATTTTTAGAGATGGTTTTATATAGAGTTGTCTCTACTTAACATGAAAATTTAAAAATTACAGAGAAATTTATAGTCAGCAGTGTGGCCCTGCCTCATCGGAGAAATTTAAAAATCATGAAAATGATAGACAACAAGATTAGCGTGAAAATGCATAATTAACGGATTTATGCATGATAGACACGAAGCATACTTTAGCGAACTTCTATCGAACAAACGGGTTTACTCCTATTTGGTATGCATATGTACGGAATTTTAGGAAAAGTTTTAGTACAGTTTTGAATTATAAAAATGCACCAGTACCATATATGTGTTGAATTCTAGAAATCATTTCCATCGAAAAACAAAATTATTTAATTTCGTTGTCTAGTAAAATGGCTTTATTTTTCACAAGAATTTTTTTAATAAAAATATGGAAGGGCAAATGAAAACCCAGAAGTCGTCCACAACGCAAAAACATTTCGAAGGCACGTTTCTTTTCTTAATTACTTTTTATCTATATATGAGGATAAGGAACCCTAAAAAATCTTGTAATTTTCTAAATAGAAGATAAAAATCTAGCATGAGTCATTTAATCTATGTTAAATCCAAAAACACAGCAGGAGAAAACCAATCGACTGAGCTACACTCAGCTGGCTACATTTAACCAACATTTGGCATCATAGTTTTTGTAGTTTTGAAATTAAAATTCTTTCGAGAATGATACATCCGAAAAGATTGGGATGTGGAATTGGGAACGGTTGGAGATGATTTCGCAATTTCATAGACCTACCATTGCATGGTATAAAATAAAGCACTTATGTTGGAACAAAATGCTTCTAGTGAAGCCGCACTTAGGCCTGGTTTAGATTGCAAATTTTTATAATCTGGACATTGTAGCACGTTTCGTTTGTATTTGATAAACTTTGTCCGATCATGGACTAACTATGCTCAAAAGATTCGTCTCGTGATTTACAACCAAACTGTACAATTAGTTACTTTTTTTATCTACATTTAATGCTCCACACATGCGTCCAAAAATTGATGTGATGGAGAGAGAGTGAAAAAACTTGGAACTTTGAGGCAATCTAAACAAGGCCTTAGTTTCCAATGCGTTGAAAACGATGTGCAACGATGGGACCTGTCTCCTCTCGCCCTCATCATAGGCCTTGTTTAGATTGCAAGTTTTTCACTCTCTCTCCATCACATCAAATCTTTGGACACATGCATGAAGTATTAAATGTAGATAAAAAAATAACTAATTACACAGTTTGATTGTAAATTACGAGACGAATCTTTTGAGCCTAGTTAGGTCATGATTGGACAATAATTGTCAAATACAAACGAAAGTGCTACAGTGACAAATGCTGATTCCTAACCTCAATCTAAACAAGACCATAATTTTTGTACCACGTTATCATTTTTGCGGATATGTCACGTTATTAAATAAGAACGAAACTCTCATTGATAATGGTTTTTGTTGATATGTCACGTTATTAAATAAGAACAAAACTCTCATTGATATTGACATGCAAGGAAAAAAACTGCATTTCAAAGTAACCAGGCAACGGCGGCATTGAGCAATGGCTGCAGCCCTTCTTAAAGCTGTCCTGTTTTGTTTTGCTGTTTTGTACTTTAGCTTAAACTCTGTTTTTTTTCCCAATAAAATTCTGTAGGGGCCTCGGGCCCTTCCAGTTCTAAAAAAATGGCTGCAGCCCAAGGATGAAGAACAGGTGGGGAGGGGCGGCCCCACCTTGCAGTCACGGGCAGCGCAAGTGACTTCCAGTTGCATTCGAACACACGTGACATTCGGCAGGGCAGGATGACTTGATGAGGCCGGAAAAACAACATTGGCGTTAATGCTCTTGTCAGGCGTACTTTCTCAGTCAACGAACATTATTTTTTCTCATGTAAAATCAGCCAACAGTACTTTCGGTCATTGCTTATCAGACAAAAAAGTCCAAACGAAACCATGGCCAGTGGTCTGTAGGGTCTGGACAAATTTTAGGCGCTGCATCACGGCCGCTTGCCAATTCAAAGTCACCCAGCAGTTCTTTGTTTCTGCGCGCGTAGAATTGAACCATCTTTGTGTCCATGCATACACAGACACACAGCTCTTCTTGAACTGATTTGGTAACCATAAATCAAGAGAAATTAAACATTGAAAAATCCGGTCAAATTTCTGATCGTGCTTGAAGAACTATACTATAATATAATGCTTCGCCATCGTCTTATCTGTATGTCAGAGTTTTTTTTGTTTTGTATCTTTTAGAAACTGGAGGGGCCAAAGCCCTACAGATAAACTTTATTTGAAAAAACAGAGCAGGAACAGTTGCGGGGGCCTCCTACCGTCCGGCCGTTCGGACGAGATTCTCACGCCGGCCGCAGCGGTGGGCAGGCCGCGCGCGAATCGAAGTTAATTAGCGCAGATAATGAAGCCGGAAATCATTAGCACAGATAAGGGTCCACGTCGCTAGGCTCATGCATGCACGACCTAAAAAAAAGCCATAACTACAGAACAAAACATTCAAATTAAATTCTGATTACACCATCAGATTTCTTGCACTAAATCTTTTAAAACAAGATCTCACATGAATATATTTAGGTAAATTTTTGTTAACAAACATTTATCTTGTGAAGATAGAATATTTTCTTTTATTGACTAGAGATGGTGTTCTAGCTTCAAAGAATAATGTTCCTTCTTCGTAATAAAAATATTCTCGCTTTAGAAGAATAATATTCTAGTTTTAGGTGCATTGGTATTATAATATACATAAAAATAAATAAATAAATAAATAAATACATAACATAAATAAAAAAATAAAATCTAGAACAAAGCATAAGGAAAAAAATTAAAAAGTAATAGACAAAAAATTAAAAAGAATATCACATGGATACTTTTCAAACATCTAAAAAGATTATAGAATATCACATGTATACTAAGTGAATATCACTAAATACGCCATAGAACATCATTAAATACATTATAAAACATCGCATATATGTTACGTGAACATTAGTAAATACATCATAGAATATTACATATATACTTTGTGAACATCATAAAACATCACATATATACTACGAGAACATAATATGTATATTACGCGAACATCATAAAATATATCATAAAACATTACATGCATACCACGTGAACATAAAAATATCATAGAACATCACATGCATACTACGTGAACATCACATGTATACTACGCGAACATCACAAAAATACATCTTAGAACATTGCATGTATACCATGTGAACATTGCAAAAAAATATCATAGAACATCACATCTATACTATAGAACATATCATCTCATGAAATATAGAAAATAAAAAATTAAACATGAAAAAATAATTAAGTAAGGTAAAATAAAAAAATAGAAAATAAAAATCTATAGAAAACATAAAGATAAAAGAGCAAAGGAAAAAGAAAGAAATACAAAAAAGAATAAAACATAAAAAAATATATTAAAAACAAACATAATAATTAATTATAGTAAAAACAAAAATAAATATATAAAAAGAAAAGAATAATAAAAAATTACATGAAACAAAAAAATAAGCAAAAATAAAAAAAATAAATTGAAGAAAGGAAATAAAAAATAATAAGAAAAGGAAAGAAAAGAAAAGAAAACAAAAAAGAAATAAAAGAAAAATGAAAAGAATAATAAAATTCACATAAAATAAAAAAATAAATATAAATAAAAATAAAGCATGAAAGAAAAAATAAAAATAAAAATAAAAGGGAAGGAAAGAAAAGAAAACAAATGAGAAGAATAAGAAAAAAAATAAAAATAAAAAGAAACTACCGTACCTTACCCTGGCGCGCCGTCGCTTCCGTATGAATTCCCGCGAGCCGCCGATTCCAGCGAGACTTGCGGCGGGAAAGATTGGGCGAGAACGCTGTTCGGCGCGGGTATCCTGTCCGGCCATTCGGACCGGAAGGTTTCCGACAGTTATAGGAGGGTCAGTCAGAGTTCAGCCTCGATGACCCTACGAAACCTGAAATGTAGCATGGGTGACGGCGGCCCGACAATGGGAAAACGAAGCGGTGGTGCGGCAACGGCAAGAGCGCTGCCATCCACAGGGCTTCGTGGTTGCAGAAGCACTCACTAACAAGGACATCTGGTTCGTCGTTTAAAAAAATGAAACGACTAGCGCTCGGACGTCCAACGCGAGGACGCGCCCGGACACCCACGCCCGCCCCGTCTGCTATGCCCATCCCGCTCGCCCCGCATGTCACGCATTTTCCAAAAAAAGGCCTGCCCCGTCTGCCCTGCATGCAACTGCATGCGAAGGCATGAAACTCTACGCCTCACGTCTCGCATGCAACTGTTGTACCTGTAAACCCGCGCCCCACATGCTAGTGCGCCTACGCATGCAATTGTGCATGCCTCGTGCTTGCTGATGCTCACCTCGTGCCTGCTGATGCCCGCGCTCATGCCTGCTGACGTGCATGCAAGTGGGGGCCGCTACGCACGCTTTGCATGCGCCCGCTTCCTACGCCTGCTAATGTTGTAACATGAAAGTACTTGTGCCATATATGTCTGAAACATGTGAAACATTTACAAAACATATGTTTGAAACATATGTGTATAGCAACTACAAACATCAAGATCAACACATTTGCAACATACGTATGAAACAGACAAAACATTTTGAATAGACGCTTGCAACATACATCTGAAACCTATGCAACATTACAACATATGCAACATCCAGATAAAACACTTACAACATAGGTCTGAAATAGGTGAAATATTTAGAACATTCACTTGCAACATACATGTATAGCCTATGCAATATATGCAATATCCAGAAAAAAAATCATATAGGAAGCACAACAATATTATTGTTGGAATCCGACGCAAGAAAGAGGTATCATCTGTTGCGAACTTGCCTTGCCGTCATGATAAGATTACAGAATTGCTTCCTGATGTCTGTGCTCCCAGTGTTAGTTCAGTTGCTCAGAGTTTGTTCTAAAGGCCCTGCAGCTTACATTACATGCATATCGAATGACTCGCTTTTGAAACTTCTAAAACTTTAGTATCGTATTCTTTGGAAGTACTAGAAGTAGTTCTGCCAAATGCCATTCTCACTACAAACAGAATTTTTTTTTAAATGTACATATTCTACGGTTGTGCAAGAGGGATGAAGATTTGAAATCTATTGAGTGAGTGAGGAGTGAGTACTAGTGCATATAAGCAACCAAGTGTAGAAACAATGTACTAGAGAGCAGGGAGACGACTTTGCTGCTGGATGGGAACATGGTGTAACCATTAGCGCTCCAAGCTCGCAGACAACAAGATCTCCTCCTCGATGCTGTAATGTCTACTGCAATAGTTGTCCCCAGCATTACCGTTGTTTCCTCCTCGAATTGTTAGGCCGTTTAGTTCATTCAGCTGGTCCTCTTCAACTAATGAAATGTCGATCTCCGGACGACACTGCAGTCCTTGAAGTCTCATCTCCACGTACCGCATACTAGGCCTGTCTTCTCCCTTCGTCCTCAAGCACATTGCTGCGATTTCCGCCACTTGTTTGCCTTCCTCTTCTCCTTCTTGGATGACCTGCTCTTCTAGTATCTCACTGACCTTGCCTTGATTCAGTAACGTGACAAAGTGTTCCACGAGACCGACATCATTAGGCGAAATGTACACGATCGGCTTCTTTCTTGTTAGAAGTTCAACAAGCATGACACCGTAGCTGTAGACATCACTTTTGTCAGTCAATCGCCTTGTGTAGTAGTACTCAGGATCCATATATCCAAATGTTCCTTGTATGCTAGCCGTCACTCCTGATTGATCGATTTCGATGCCTCTAGAGGCACCAAAGTCCGACACTTTCGCCGTCAACCGATCGTCAAGCAGTATGTTGGATGTCTTGATGTCCCTGTGCACCACTGACGTTGAAGCGGCTGCGTGAAGATAGGCCAGAGAACTAGCAATTTCAGAGGCGATACGCAGCCGATCTTTCCATGCCAATGGGTTTTGATCAGGGCTGTCGACATGAAGGTGGGCATAAAGTGTCCCATTTGGAATGAACTCATAGACCAACAACGGAACTTCTGTCTCAAGACAACATCCGAAAAGCTTCACTACATTTCTGTGGTTTATTTGCGAGAGGATGGCAACTTCATTGATGAATTCTTCAATCTCCTTTTGAATCACAAGTCTTGACTTTTTAATGGCAACGACACGTTGATTGGAGAGTATGCCTTTATAGACCGTGCCATGCCCTCCGCCGCCGAGGATGCGCGACTCATCAAACTTATTTGTTGCCTTCTCAAGCTCCTCCAAGCTGAAGATCATCCCTTGGGCGATGTCTTTATCAACCAGTTGCTGAAGCAGCAACCCGCGGTTTTGCCTGAAGAATTTCTGCCTCATTTTCCTGGCTTTATGAATCTTGAGCCTTTTTGTTGCAAAGATGGCACCAAGAACCAGAAGCAAAAGGAACATACCAATGCCAACCCCCATAGCCAAAAATGCGCCTGCGGAAACATATCATGTCACACCCTCGGATGTCATCAATCCTTGATTTTTTTTTTCAGAAGAGAAGGTAGTTGGATCAAGCTTACCAGCTGCGAGATGCCTTCGAGCTCCCCGGCAGCCACCTCGCACGTAAGGGTTGCCGTTGTAGCCGTCCTTGCACCGGCAGAAATAGCCGTCGGCGCTGCCCGTGGCGTTGAGGCACTCGCTGTTTCTGCTGACGCAGCCAAAGCCGGGCATCTTCGCCGCCGCCGCGCATGACGACGACGTGTTCAGCGCCCAGTCCAGGAAGGCCGGGATGACGAACCCAGTGGCGTTGCCGCCGGCGGAGAGGAGCGACAGCTTGACCGGAACCACGTTCTCCCTGTCGCGCCACCACTCGTGCTCCACCATGAACACGTTCGCGCCGGGCGCCACCCACGCCGGCCGCCGAGCCGTGGCGTTCTCCTGCAGCCAGGAGAACCGGACGCCGAAAGACGACGACGTGAGGCCGCCGCCCGTCGTCGGGATGGGCGCTTCGCAGCAGCCGGCGCCGTCGCACGGCCCGTGCCGGAGCTTCCGCTGCGCGGCGCCCGGACAGGACGGCGCGCACGAGGTGAACGTGCGGGCCGCGTTTCCTTGCCGCGCGGGCGCGGTGGCCTGGAACTGGAAGCCGCAGCCGACGAGGACGAGGCTGTTCCGCGCGGCGGAGAGCGCGTACTGGGAGGACTGGCGGAGGTCGGCGGGGAGGGCGTCGACCCTCGCGTCGCTCGTAGTGCCGGCGGCGGCGGCAGGGAAGGACCACACCGTGCTGCGGACGCGCACGGTGCTGTTCCGCAGCGATATCTCCAGCACCTCCGGACCCCCGCCGCCGCTGCCCAGGGAGAGCTTCGGTGGGCGGTACGCGCGGTCGCAGGTGACCTCGAAGCCCGCCCGATGGCAGCCGTTGCTGGTGCCGAAGCCGAACGGGTAGGGCACCTCCACGTCGCCGCACTTGCTCTCGCAGCCGGCCATGTTCGCCGCAGCAACCGCCGTCCACGTGGTTCCGGCCGTCGTCGCGAGCTGCAGCAGCAGCAGCTGGATGGCGGCGCCGGCGAGGCTACACATCGTCGCCATGTCATGTCACTGCGGGGACCGCAGTGCACCAGTGCGTGAGCTTCGCAGCAGGTACGTACGGTAGGTAGGTAATCCGTGCATGACCTGGTCTCCGTTTCTGGCGCGTCAGGAGAAACTTTGGCCTATTCAAAGTACACCACCAGCACTCCAGCAGCAATTGGTCTTTGAAAAGCAAGCAGGTGAGACCGTAACTTCGTGCAAAATATAAGTTACAGTGCTGGTGACCTGCAGGTCAAGCTCGAAATGCTTATCTACCATCTCTGCCATTGATGCATGCGTAGACTTGAACGAGCGCTTTTCGTATGCATGCGCGACTTCTACATGTAAATAACAAATGGACTGGGTGTGCGTAAGGTGACACGAGATTTTTTTGGATCTCTCTGACATTGGATAGTCTTTGGATTTCGTATGTCGCTCAACTACTAGTGATGTAGTGTCATAAACTTGAATGTCAGTATGTCATTACTATATAGACGGCGTGCCATATTTTTTTACGGTAATACTTGATTCAGGGCGTTCGGACGAACGGATGGATCGACCCCGTGCGTGTGACGCCCAAGAAAAAAAAAGAGAGGGACGTTGCATTTATAGTCAACAGGCTCGCACCTGTCCTTTCTGTGGGGCAGCGTATGGGAGCATGTGCGGCCACTCGTTCGGGGTGCAGTTTAGGGTGCATGCGGCGCTTGGGGGACTGTGCATGTGCGTGACCACGGAGAGAGGCTCCCTGCTGCGTCCGCTGCTGGCTGGACCAGTCGGCCAGACCCCTAGCCGCACGTGTCCAGGGCCACATGCCTCCCTGTCGCGCCTACCCTCTGCTGCCAAGCGCCTAGGCCTGCTGTTGTTTGTCGTCCTGCTCTTTTCTCCTCTGTTTTGTCTGCGCCCAGGCCAAGCTGCCCCTGTCGCGCCCGCCCTCTGCTGCCAGGCGCCTAGGCCTGCTGCTGCTTGTCGTCCTGCTTTTTTCTCCTATGTGTTGTCTGCGCCGAGGCCAAGCTACCCCTATCGCATGCTGCCTGCAGCGTTGCTGCCGACCGGATTAGCCAGGCCGCTTGCCTATTTGTGAGAGGAGGGCGGGCCCACATCTGCACCGTTGACGGTTGACCGTTGACAGCTGAGTGCTGGCCCAAACTTTTCCGCCCACTCCATGGCATCGAGCTCCATATGTTTTTAAGTGTTTCAGATATATGTTTCATCTGGTGTTCCATGTGTTTCATCTGGATGTTGCATAGTGCATTGGCTATAAACGTATGTTGCAAGTGTATGTTTTAAATGTTTCATCTATTTCAGACGTATGTTGCAAGTGTTTTATTTGTATGATTCAATGTTGCAATGGCTATACACATATGTTGCAAGTGTATGTTTTCTGTTTCAAACATATGTTGCAAGTGTTTTATCTGAATATTGCATATGTTGCAGTGGCTATACACATATGTTGCAACCGTATGTTTTAAATGTTTCACCTGTTTTCAGACATATGTTGCAGCAAAAATGTTTAATATTGCAAGTGTTTTCATTAGCATGCGCAGTATGTTTCATGCGTTTTCATATGTATGTTTCATACATTTCATCCGAATGTTGCATGTGTTTTATCTGAATGTTGCAAAAGTAGATCTGGTGTTGCAAATGTAGATCTAGTTCCTACCTGCATGCATGTCCATGGGCGCCCAGCACCGATGTGAAGCGAGGGGCACAGCAGCAGGCACGGGCTTGCATGCGTACGTGCAACACCATGTGCGGGCGGGCAGGCATGCGCACAGTTGCAACCGTGGTCTGGCTCATCAGGCATGTGGGGTGGGTGCAACAAGCGGTGCAGGCGCGAGCGTCCAGACGGGGCTAGGGTCCGAACATCCGGGCGCTAGCCACGCCCTATTTTTTATTTGGATTGTAAAGATTCCTAGAGTTATGAGATTAGATGTCCGATAATTACTACCTTTGTGGTAAAAGATTTATAACTGAGTTGGTTAGATGACTTGAGTACCATTCTTCAAAACCTGAGTTCTTTCTCCCGGTTGCTAGGGTAAAAATATTCTCCTCTTCTCTCCCACGCCAAGCATCCCCGTTCTTCAGCTCCCACCCAAGTGAGATACTATTTTGACAAATAGTAATTTCAAATGTCAGTAAAGATGGAGAAATATTTTTGTAATTGTAAAGTTTTATTGAGGCCAATGTGGGCCTTTGCCCCTTGGCCCAATAAAACTTCAATAGTATTATAGCCTGCTTTTTTTTTGTTATTTAGGCTTTGCACTCTACAGGGGGCTAATTAGCTTCACTAGTCCCTCCTAACAAGATGTACATGAGCTTAGGGACTCAAACACCGATGCTCATAGAATAACTCATAGGACTATTCATGCCAAGGTAGGGCAGCATGTGTGATTCTTGAATCCACCTAATGGCAGTGGCGAATCTAGGATTTTAGTTTAGGGTATGTCGCTAAAAAAATTTCATATACAATTCGGTAAATCCATTTTAGCAATTTGGTAATAATTGTGAATTTTACAATGTGATTCGATAAATTCAAGGATTAGATTCAGACCATCCACTAAATACAATATAAAAAGTTCAAATATAGGCATAAAAGAGTACCAGAGACTTATAATGTTATTTTTCTCACTGATTTATTCGACGCTTACAAAGGGACATGAATGTCTTGACTATATCATTTTCATCAACTTAAAAAAAATATCTCGCTCAACGAAAGTGACTAGACAATCATTCAAAAGACTAAACAATAATTTTCTATAAATACCTGAAGAGCAAAGATTAAATTACCGTAAGTATTGTAGACGAGACGTGCGATAAATAGACGGCGATCCTCCAATTCAGAGAGGGCGGAGGGCGGCAGCCGGTAGGCACCAGGGGCCAAGGCGGCAGGGCGGCACCGACTCGACTCACCCAGTCAGGGCGTCAGGCGGAGGCGGTGTGTTCTTCCGTGGCTTCGTACTCAAATTAGGAAACCGAAACGTCGTGTACAGAGTCAGAGACTCAGAGCGCGCATACCGTATGGGTTCACTTGCCGAGTGGGCCGCGTTACATGGGCCTCCCGTCATCAAGCGATTGTGTCCAGGTATGCTTTTTCATTTTTCTTTTTTTTTTATAAATACAGCGTATACACTATATTATATAGTATATATATATACTACTTGCCGCCGGTTTTGCAGGGTATGCCGGTGCATACCCGGCATGGCTCCGCCACTGCCTAATGGTGTGTGTAATATGTACACTCCTAGCTATTTAAATAAAGAGGGTGGTGTTGGTAAAAATAGCCAAACCATTAAGCTATTCCAACAATAATCATTATAAGAACAATATGACAATATTATCCCAATCTCACCTTTTCAATGCCTAAGGTTGGTTGGTATAGAAATCAGAAACATTTATAGCTGTTTGCGCTGTTCGATAAAAAGGTTATGCAAGCGTTATGTTCTCTCAAACCGGATAAGATGTGCCCATCGATGATGATGAATAGATTAGCAACATCAGACTACATTAAAATATCACAAACCGACTGATTAATGAACAAATACAATATATATTTTTTAATTAACTGGAGGGGCTCGCGCCCCTACAGGAATAATAAATACAATATTTGAAAACCGTATACTTAAAAAAAATTATTCTAGTCTCTGCATTAGTTATGCACCAATCTCCAGTTTTTGAATAAGCTCACAAAAGCACACAAAACACGGGGACTGTTTGAACACCAAGTCTATTAAACGATAACCATCCGTTGAAGGATTTCATAAGCACGCCCAAAAAAATGACCATGAAAATAATGTGCAAATACGAATATAAACTTTTTTGGTTAAAAACCATCTTATTTCTACACAGCCAAATAGACCAAAATAGCACTCACGCGCACACACACAATGATATCTTGTTTCTCAATCTACTTGCTAGAGCCAGATTCTGAGGACATTCGTTACATTATTTGGCAGTGGTTATATATTTGAATGTTTCCTTGTGGACGTTGACAGATTGGCATCTTTCTCGTTTTGCAACACTTATACAAAATAACTGAAACACAGCAAACCAATCCTCCATCTTCAGATCCCTGGCGTCACAGAACACAAAGGCGATGTGGGGGTGCACCATCAACAGCATCAGCACAATCAATCCCCCATCATCTATCCATGCCATCTCATCAAACACAGCAAAAACTTCACCAGTGCCTGAATCAAATCAACTGGTGTGTCTGTATAGATGCAAAACGTGTAAAAACAGAGTGGCTACAAAGTCCCATAGTCCCATGCTTGGCATCTTCCAAGAAAGCAATCCTGCATGCTGCAGAACGCGTGACGCCTTCCTATATATTTCGTCGAGCACATTGTGCACGATGATGGCAGCGGCGATGTCCTCGCCTCACCGGCCGGAGCACGGAGCGGTGGGCGTCGACCGACCGCGGCGAAGTGGCGGCGTGGACGCTCGAGTCATGGTACATAGAAAGTTCCCAGCCAGCGTATCGCCATTTGCCAGATGACAGCGGTCCATGGTCAACTGCATCCAGACCGCTCAGTTTGACCGGACGGCTATCCGGAGCCCACAACTCTTCTGCCAAATATTCCTCTTCCTGCCTCTGCCTGCAAGCAATTGGCACACATATGCGGCGCCGGCGCACCGCCGACTCGTCGCCGGAGGGCGGCGGGCCGCACTTCTCGGCCGTCAGACCTCCACATAGGTACGCCCTGGTCCACCTGTTGTTACTTGTGAGTAGTTCAGCAACCCAAAATAAATCTGGAGTAGGTTATTGCTCGTTAGCCGGATTTGTGGGCTATTATTGTAAGTAGTACCTAGTTAGGTTACCTGTATTTTGCATGCGTTGTTCTGTTGAGGTAGTTCGACAGTCGATTCTCCGGCAACGATGAGCCCGTGAATGATTTGGATGCCATGGCCTAGCCGGTTTTCCCCTAGGATTGCATATCCATATTAACCTACTACCAATAGATAAACTAAATTCGAGTTTTTAGCTTCTTTTTTTAAGTCTCCTGTGCTCTTGT